AGCTACTGACCCCAAAGTGATGTGACCTTCATCCTCTAAGGCAGGTCTGTTGGGTGGGATTATGACACTGCAAGGGCATTCTGTGCCACCTGGCCAAACTTTTCTCAGCTCCCTCTGGCCTACTGCCACACCTGTGTGAGCTTAGTTCCTAGGCTGGCTTTGGGTTCTGCTCTTTAAATTGGACATTTCCTTTGTAGGTAGAAAGGGGGTGTTTGTGCCTGTCAGCCACAGGGATTGAGGGACGGGTTTAGAGGGATTCACAGTTCATAGCTGACTGGTTTTGGGGCCACTCCGTTGGATGCCTGAATCCAGACAGGCTTGGCACAGCTGTAAATTGGTGCCAGTTAGCACTTGGATGGACTGCCAGAGTCCACTGCTTTAGGATGCAGCTCCACAAGCCCCAGAGCCAGCTCAGGGAGCTGTCTAGGCTGTGCTTGCACCATCCTTTGCTCCCAGACAGCTTGGAGTGTTTAGTGCCTTTTAGCCTCTCACCTCTATGGCATTGGGATGGACCTGAGTCACTTCTTGTGGCAGAGGGAGAGAAAGAGGCAGGCTGTGCCCCTGGAACTATCACTGCAATTGGTGACTCAGGCTCTGCCTTGGTGTGGTGGCTCCTGTGAGGCAGAGCTGGGCCAGCTCTGTTGCAGATGGAAGCTCACAGGACAGGAGCAAGACCCAGAGGCACCCTGTGCATGCCCTTCTGCTTGTCCTGCCTCACACAGTTCATTCCCATCACCCAGAAATGTGAAGGAAATGGGAGGGGAGAAGACGGACACGTGGGAGCAGTGAAGAATCCATTGTCAGAGTCTCTGCTCAGCTGCATAATTCATTCCCAGTGATGTTTTGTTGCTCCAAGCAAGCAGCAGTTGGTGTCATTGGCCATGTGCAGGCTATGGCCACATAAGTCCTGGCAGCACATCTGGATCAGGCTCAAGGGGCTATGGTCCCACCTCAGTGAATCTCATCACACTGAGGGAAGACTGGGCTTCCCTCTGGGAACACAGCTGGAGAAGGAAGCCTTTAAGATGGAGGAGACACATGTGGCACCAGGTGAGGGTGGAGTGTCTGGGAGTGGGTAGGGTGGAATCCAGGGCATTCTGTGCTGCAATGGACTGGCAGTGACTGGTGTCAGTCACTCCATGACATGCCCACATGGAGGGACAAGTTGGTACCAGGGCTGTCCTTCAGTAGGGAAGACCCCATGACAGGAAGATTAAGCCCCAGTGGGCAGCTAGGAGTCAGTCCACAACAGTGAGGAGGAGAAGATGGGAGTTTGGGGCAGCACTCAGCAATTTCTCCTGTTTCCTGGCTGGGTGAAGTTGGTGCCCTTTGCAGATCAGAAATGCTGCTTCAGCACGTGGAGGAGCCTCTGCTGCACAGCCCAATCCACAGAGCCATTAATAACAGTGTAGGAACAGGAATTCAGCAAGTGCCCATGATTAATTAGCTCATCAAAGGCAGTTAATGGCCAGGCTGCTCTCCTTGGACCTGTGGTGCAGGTAATGGAACCGGCACCGCTTCCCACTGGACGAGGCGTAGCCCCCTGCCAGGAGTGATGGGCTGTTCTGATGTGCTGCTGAGAGGTTTTGGGTGAGATTGTTTCTTTGGATGCTGGGGAAGTAGATCTGTAATGGAACTTGTTAGTTATCAAAGTCAGGTAGGCAACTTTGGCACAGCCCTAACCTAATATCAGTTTTCCTTTTCCTAGCACTGGTATTACCTCACGTCCTGCTTGTGCTCCCTCTTACCGAGGCTGACTTCTTCACATGTACTGTGCTTGTCTCAGCACTTCCTCATGAATTAATATATAGAAATTCAGGTGCCACCTATGCTGCATCAGGCACTGGAGATGACAGAGCCGTGCTGTAACAAGGACATGAAAGCAAGGCTGCTTTTTGAAGTCCAAGTGATGAGGAAGCAATCTGCTCCACTAGTGACCCTGCCAGGGAGAGGGCTGAGCTCCACCAAGTGCAAGTGATTGTCTCTGTCCCAGCTGCTTAGCAATAAGATAGGGAAAAAAAAGCTCTAGCAGGAGTGCAAGGCATAGAAATTAAATTGCACACATTTTCATCATTTGAGCAACATGATACAGCCCAAGGTGTGAAATGAACATGATAGGACTGAGACTGCTGCTCTGCTGCCAGTAAGGAGTGCAAGCCTTGTTCTGTGTCCCAAAGGGACATGATCATGTGCCCCTTTAGGGCACGTTCTGTGACAGTCACAATGATGCCTATTACAGCAGAAGTGAAGCATGTGTCTGTGCCACAGCCTGTAATTTCTCCTATCTCCAATTCAGAGACCTGTGAGAGCCTCCTGGAGTGACTTCCCCTCTCTAATGTCCAGGGTTGCCTCTGTACACCTCTATTAGAGGCCTCCAGGAGAGACCTGACTATTGATTTTGCACAAAGTGCTGTGAGCTGGCCACACGGAGGCACTCGTGACATCCATGAGCTCCCTTTCTCAGTACAAAACATCCTGAAGGTCTGAAAAACACCTTCTGTATGCCAGACTTCTGGCTGGCTCCCCTGGGGAAATCAGAAAAACTCGACTCGAACTGAAAAAAGCTCAGTGGGTAGGCCATGGCATTGAGCTTGATGGTCACATTAACCAGAGATGTTTCCAGCCCTCTAAGAACTTTCCCCATAAGGCACAGCAGAAGCTGGCTTTGCTCCTCTGTGACAAGTGGTCACCTTCCTAAATCCTCAGTGAAACTTGTGGGAGGTGTCACATCCATCTTCTGCTTGCTAAGCTCTCCTTCCTGGGGGAGGCATCTCAGGGAAGGCTGAGCCTCCTGCCCCACAGAGGCAGTGATGTACCATGCCAGGAGGACAGGTATTTAATTTGCCTTGCTCTGCCCTATCTGGCAGCTCCCAGCATTGCTCTCTGTGTCCCAGGCTTTCTGTTGTGGCTCTGGCAAATTGTTGCTGTTTCCCATTCGATACAGATATTTTTGCAGGACTGTAAATTACTCCCATCCAATAACTCTTTTATGAAGCACTTTTTCTCCACACAGTAAAGAAAAATGCCACTGAAGAGGTAATTAAATGTTTACTGTTAAGTACTTTATGTAATACGTACTATAGATCATTCCGTCCATTAAGCAATCCATTGAACTCCCTTTAACAGCATTATTGTCTATTATTAGGTTAATCAGCATTCACATCCTCTAACTCTGCATTTCTATCTAATTAGCCCTTCTTTCTTACTTCATATTTCTATTGAATTAAGCTCAGCATCAGAACTGAATTCCCTGTGCTCAGCACTAGCAGAGGATTTGATCCTTTCAATGTGTGAGGGGCCAAGGGGCACCAAGTTTTAAGCATCCTCCTTGGATATCTGCTAACGTTTTCAGCTGAAATTTTCCAGAGTCAGTCCCTACTTAACTCCTGAGAAGTTCATGTTGGTGTAAGAAGCTGTAGGTTTGTGACCTTCTCTGTTATCTCAGGTTATCAAAGAGGTCCCATAGGTGTGGTGTCTGCAGTGATTGCATGCAGGCATGGTCATGCATGGGGATTTCCTTTACTTCCTGACTGGGAGGGCAGGGAGTCTGTGTTGTGAGGGGCTCACACTTCACTCTGGATGTTGGGGTAGGTAAAGATCAGCACTGGGAATAGCTAATTTCTTACCTGACCAGGGCAAAAATGTTCATGGCAGTGCTGTCCCACCTGCGCTGGGGCAGGCTCGAGGCTGCCTGGGCTGCTGTGTGCTGGAGCACTGCTGGGACCTGAGCTGACATCATGCCTGCTGATAGATAACACACTCTTTGGCTTAAACACCTGCTCTGCTCTCTCAATCCCCAAGCCCTGGAGTCTGCTACAGGAGGCTGTCAGTTATAATCTCTCCCCCTCAAATGTTTTTGGGGATACCCAAGGCACACACTGTGACAGCATAACTGGAAAGCAGATTAAGTAGCAGACAGGGAACACCTTGCTTGTCACCACTTAGCATCCAAGCTGCAATGGCTTTGAGGAATTGTCTGGGCCCTTCCAGAGTCCCTGAGCAGCTCTTTTTGCTAGTACCAGTCCAGAACAATCAGCAAATTGAGTTCTTTTTATTAACTTTAAAAGAAGACATTAGCCTCAGCCAGGAGAATAAAACCAATTTATGAGGCAATTAGCTCTGCAAAAACATTTCAGTCTCCCCAGAGCAGCCATCTGAGGAGCATCTTATTCCAGCTGCACAAGTTCTTCTGGCCTTGGGTTTACAGCACACTTCATTTATCATAAATAATAATAATAATAATGAATAAACAAATGGCTTCCTGATGAGTGTGTGAGACAGCCAGGAAAGTATTCTCTGCCTGAAATTAGACTGTTTTTGACTTCCTCCTTCCAGGTGTCATTCTTCTGGCCCGTTGCTTGCTTGTGGTTAATTTTGATACTCAAGCTCTTTATAAGCAGTATAATCTTATGTGGGTTTCTTGTGGGGTCTGCAGCAGGGTTAGGTGCAATTCAAAGGACGTGGACTACACAAAGGTGCCATAGCAGCAGACTGGAGAGCTCTATGTGTATTTTACAAGTTCCTTTGTAGAAATTGCAGCTTTCTCAAGAACTGCCTATTAATGCTGGAAATTTGGGCAAAAGCCAGGAATGGAGTCTTCCTCTGCCATTATTGTTCTGATACGAAAAGTTCTGGGTGATGAAGATGATGTAGGAATAAATGTGGATTGGAATTAAAACAAGTTTGATTTTCTATTTCTGGGCTAGCCTGAGACTTTCAAATTTGCCTTAAAAGCAAACTGAGATTAAAATTTAAAACTCAGTTTCAGTGAGTTTCATTGTACCGGTCTGCCAAACACATAACTCTTATTTTCTGTATTTTCCTGTTCCAATTTTTCCATTTTTATGATAAAAGTCTATTTCCTGATTTTAATTACACAGTGCTATTGCGAAAGCAAAGAGTAGAGAATAAAAACATTAGAACATAATATTCCTAATACAAATATTCTACAAATCTTACAATTTTGTTAATTAAGCTTTTTTTTTTTTTTTTTTTTTTGGTGTAAGCTGTTGACCAGCTTTGCTTAGCTTAGATATGCAACACTCCCAGGCAGAGCCCTTGGCTTGCACTATTTTTATCTCCAGCAGCAGGAGGGAATCCTGTAGATCTTGTGTGTGTTAAGAAACTCAAGGGGAAAGAAAGTGCAACTGCTGTGATCTTCTTAACACAAAGAATGAACTGAATCCTAGGCTTTTCAATAGGAATCGAGATGCCCAAAAGAAAATTGGACATGGAGGTTCCTCAGGTGTTAAAGTTGGGTTCTCTCTACCTCTGTTTCTCTCTGAGCTCTGTTTCTGAATCTCAAGAAATATGTATCCAGGCCAGAAGTGCAACACTCCTTACAGTTATTAGGCTAAAGAGCATGAAAGGACAGGGGCAATTGATGGAAGCCAATGTTCAGAGTCACAGCCAGCAGCAGTCCTATTGCTGTGGCTGCTGGATGCAGCTGTGGATACAGCTGTGGATACAGCAAGAACACCTTTGGATCAAAGACCTGCTGGGACCTGTGCCTCAGGCATGGTGGTTGTGAGCCCTTGAGGGGTGAGCTGCTTGGGAGAGTAAGTGTGAGGCATCCAGTGGGCTCAAGCCTTCTGCAGCAACTTCCCTGCAGTTCCCAGCTGTGCATTTTCCTCATGCTCCACCATGAAGATGGGATTTACAGCCACTCAGCAGTGCTGCTATCAGTAGCTTGACCAGCTCAAGTCTATCAGGCTTGAAAGGAATTTTTTTCTTTATTTTTAAAAATCCTTTCCTGCTCCACTTCTTTCTCCATCATTGAGTTAAAAGTCTGTTAGCATCTCCTTCGGAATAATTCTGCCTTTAAATTTTGATGAGTCAGTGAGTCCATGCAAAGCTTTTTAAAAGCTTTTAATTCTAAGCTTTGGGGATTTTACACAGCCAGTTTAATCTGTAATGACTTTTTTTCATTTCCACTTGAACTTTCTGCTGTTCTGGTGCTCTTTAACTCCTGCAAGGCCTCATTTATGTTCTCTTGAAACACTTCACTGGGAGATGAATGGTTCTTCCAATACTCCCTTTTTATTAATGTGTAGGTTTATAAGTGAAGGAATTAAATGTAGCTTGAAGAAGACCTCACCTCCTAAGGTGTTTGCTGTTGTGGCTGCACCATTCTTTGGGGAGTCTGTAGCAGCTGAGCTGCAGCCTCTGTGTGTGTGTGTAACAGGGTGTGTGTGCACAGCACTGAAACCGTTCCTGCATCTCCCCTCCCAAGCAGTTTTTGCATCTTAGGGACATGGATGCTACAACAACCCATGACAGCCTTCCAGGAAGGACCAGACCCAGCTTGGTTTGTAAAACTGAGGGGTTGGTTTTGTGCTGAGGGATGGTGCCAACCGTCACACTTGCTGAGCAGAAAGAACCTGAGCTGCAGAAAACAAAATTGGGCTTTGCATGGCTAAAGGTGAAGGGACATGTTGGCACAGCAGTAGCAAAGAGAACAATGTTTCGGTGGCCCTTCTCTGCAGGACAGGTAGCCAGGCCAAGCCTTTTTGACACATGGGATGTCTCTCAGCAGCAGCACTCCTAAAGCACCTCTGCTTCACCTGTCTTCAGGTATGAGGTAGTCACTAGGCAGCTGCTTGAGTGGAAAAAAAGGAAAAAAATAAGCAAAGAAAATGAGGGAGAAAAGGGTGATTTTTGTTGTACTTTGAAACCCTCTTCTGTTATCTGTGTTGTAACATGTCTCAGCTTTGATAGCTGCTTAGTTATCTTCTGGCCAAATGTGATGATGTACAGAAGCTTTGTACCCCCTTTGATACTCACTCACACAAACATAGGCACTGTAGTGGAAGCAGCTGTCAGCTGGGAAATTGCACAGAAGCTGCTGGGTTTTCATGTAAATTATGCAACTATTCAGACATCCTAGTGGGAGGCTACAGTGTGATGTTTGGGCTGGATTTTCTACAGTGTTTAGGTGCTGGAAGATTCAGATAAATACTTTTGGGGACTGATTGAGAAGCCTCCATGCCTACATCCTACTGAAATCATTGGTGTTTTGCTTTCAGAGGTGTCAAGACACTTCTCAGAAGTCCCATTTTCAAGAATGTCGGTCACATGTCCCAGAGAGCTGGCAGCTACAGAAATTCCCAGTGCCAAGGCAGAGTAAACAAGATAAATGTACAATTTGGTGTTCTTGCCATTGATAAAGGATTGCCACTGGAACATCAAAGATCATCTCTAAATAAGGGTAGGTGGGTCAGGAAAGAAGCTCAGTTGCAATGGGCTTCAGGAGGGTTGGCTTTGGGCCTTTCCCTGCCCCAGATTTGCTGCATAATCACAGGAGATCATGGAGTTCCAGGCTCTTAAGAGCAGAGCAGCTGATGTTGGTTTATAGGTCTCTCACCCCACGTCCTGTTTAGTTGCTGAACAGGTTTTGATGGCCACTGTGTTCAGGTTCTGTCAGAAATCATTAACATATTTGGCTTCCTATGGAACGAGATAGACTTCTTCTCGTCTCCAGAAGTACTATTATTCATGTTTTCTCAGCAGGAAACCTGTCACAAGAGTCCAGTATCATGGTAGGCTAGCATGGTATGTCTCCTAAGGGTTGATTTTCCTTTTGGGACGGCCTGGATGGAACATGTCTCTCTTACAACAGCCATTGCAGAAGGGATAAAGTGTCCTTCAGTGTTTCTAGGGACAACACTGTATGACTTTGCTTCTTCAAATTCTATACTGCATGGCAATGGGCTACCAGCTGTTGGGTATGAGAACAAGTAATGCCCTCCTCTTATGGCTTCTTCCAGACTCAATTCTTCTTTATGACATTCAGATCTTTCTTTCCACTACAGCCAGGGTCCTGGCTGGCTCAGGAGCTGGCTTTGGCAGTGGTGAGTCCTTGCTTGCAAACCATTTCTTTACAGCTCTTGTAGGACTTGTTGCATTTGAGGCTTTTGCCATGATCCTGCCACCATGCAGCTGTTTCTGCTGAGGAAAAGCATTGCTCTTTCAGCAGAAACAGTTCACAAAGACCTCAGCCCTGTGGTGTTGCAGCCTGGCTCTGAGTTTAGGGGGAAAAAAATCTGAGTGGGTGGAGGTTGTGGAGCCCCAGCAGTTAGCATGCTTCTTGCATCCTGTCTCCTGCTGTGGCTGGAAATTGTATTGCAGGTGTCACTGGTCCATGGGATGGGATGGAAGAAAGATAACAGGCCCCATCTCAGCTGGGGAAAAGAGTTTTGTAATTAGGATAAAGCCTACAGCTGCCAGAGTTGTTATTTCTTTTCTGCTTTCTTACTATGGGAGCAAGTTGTATCACTCACTCCTCAGAGGATAAAAGTTCTGTTGTTTGAGGATGGATCACACCCAGGAGTGTGGGCCAGCCATCAGATGGAGAAGGGCAGAGCATAATGGCAGCTGGGCAGATCTTTCAGCAACAAATAAGAAGACAAGGCCAACTTCTCTGATGAGGAGCTGGGGTGTGTATGTTAAAGTTATTAACATGAACTTTAAAAGAACCAGCAACTCCCTGTGTTTTTTAAAGTCCAGTCAATAGCACTTAATAGCCCTGGCTCCCTGCAGAACTCCCTCAGCCTGTTTGCAGCCACTCCCAGCAGTGAGACTGGTAGATTTATATGATTTCACAGGGTACAGAGGACTTGCTTTGCAGCACAGCACCATTTCCCCTTAATGGACTCTGCGACAAAGCAAATTTTGGTGATGTAAAAATGCCTGGGCTGCTGGACCAAAGTACTTCATTTGCAACACCCTGTGGTGAGTGAAAGCCACAGGACTGGTTATAGCCACACTGAAAGGTTGTGAAAGCACTGATCACACCAGGCACTTATAAAAGCCAGATTTATAGCACTGACCTGTGCATTAGAAAGAGCAGCATACCTTTTTCTCCTAAATTCAGGCTAATGTTAAAGAGTCAGTGTGCTGAGTGTTGCACAGAGTGTGACAGACAGGGATCTCCATGAACACCTCAGGGAGCTGCTGTGTGTTACTGACATGCTTGTGCAAAGGGCACATTTCTTCCTTCAAGGTGGCTCAGCTCCTGTGAGGAAGCAAAAGAGTCCTTGTGAGGTGGCCAGGTCCCCTGGGAGCAGCAGGACCCCTCAGCCATTGGAAGGTTGCAGGAGGCAGGTTGTGAGCAAGGAAGGATGCTTGAAGGGTGGCCCTGGCAGAAGAGGGATTTCACTGTGGGGAGAGAGCGAGATCCTACAGTCAGGGTTGAAGCACTGCCACAGTTTGCAGATAAGTGGCCAGGTATGGGACTTTATATCATGATGCCAAGAAAAGTCTCTGTCCTTCAAACCGTCCATGTGGTTTTTTCGAGCTGCAGCATTCCTCCCAGTGATGAAGGCTGGGAGGCTCAGCAATGGCTCTGTCACAGGGAATCTGGACTGATGGATTGGTGTCACAGCTGACACCTGAGTGGCTTTTTTCAGCACAGCACAGCCCTGAATGCCCTGCCTGGTTAACATATTACTTGGCTTTAGGAATGAGATACATCTATTCCACTTTGGGAACACATCTGGCTGAAGCCAAAAGCAGTTTGAGAGCTTTCTTCAAGGCTGTGGGAGCTGCTGCCTAACCCAGGCTCCACAAAGATCCTCAGGCAGCTGAACTTGCTGCCTTGCTGCTGTGCAGCTCCGCAGGAGCAGCTCAGGGTGGCAGTGTTGCTCTGTGATTTGCACAGTTCCCTGCGCTCATTCCATTTTCTTGCTGACACACGGGGAATTGTATCCCCAGAAGGACCATCGGGGGTTTCGTACAAAATAGTCCACAGATGCAAACTGCAGAAGTCTGTGTCCTGCCATGCTGGGTTTAGTTAAGGGCACTCTGGAAAAGTCCCTGTTTTGTAACGTCTCTCTTCAGTCACACTGTGTTGGAATTCAAGTGGCTTTATGGCAATGCTGAGTTTGGGCTCACATCTGGCAATATTAAATCACTGCCATGCAGAAAGAGAAGGTTATTTCTATTTTCTCTATTTTTTGAAGTTCAAGTGACCATGTATACCCAACACACATTTCTGCTGTAAGTGGTAGAAAGCATGTAACCTCTGTAGGAATTTACTGGAAAGGAGAACTGTAAAATGTCACCCATTGATCATTAGCACTGTCTAGTCCCAAAGGAAAGTGTTGCCTTTGAGTGACAGCTCTTCATCTGGCTGAGAGGGAGCAGTGGCACATGAGTCTGGAACAGACACAGCCTCGTGGTGTGCTGGTTGCTGTTTCATTTGTGCTCTCAGCACTGGCCTGTCTCCTGGGGATGATTGACAGAATTTCATGGGTTTGAGAAACTTCAAGCAGCTGATAAATGGCTGTAAAATCTGCCTACTCGATATGTTTAATTTATTTTCCTGTACAATTTATTATCTGTCAAATCTATTTATCCCACATAACTTACGTACCTACCTAATTAGACACAGTTGTATAAATAAATATAAAGGCAATGAAACATTATATTTTCTCCTAGACATTTTATTGACAAAAATCATTGTTCAGTTTGATGTTAAGAATTTTGCTTGTTTTTCCTGGATTTCCAGTGACATAAGGTACCTAAGCTGTACTCTTACCTTTTCCCTGACAAACATATCTGCTGTGTGGATGCTCTGTGCTTTTTACATGAAACTGTGGCCCATGTGCTTAAGAGCATGTATATGTGTCCAGGGGCTCCCAGACAGAAATAAGGCAGCCCTCATGATGTATAAAGAGGTTCAGAAATAAATTTATGTGTCTGTGTATGAGTCATGAATTCACCCACTGCTATTCACAGTGTCTTTCTGTCAGCTTTGCAGGGGAGAATTTCAGGAGCCCTGGCAGGGAGGTGTCCTGTCACAGGCATCCTGCTGGGTGGCACAGCATGCAGGTGAGTACATGTGTATATCTCCATGCTTCTTCTCTGTAATACATCACTCATGGTTATCCCAGCCTCAGAGGTAACATCCCATCCTGGTGAAGTGGCAGGTTTAAGGCCTGAAATATCCTTGAAGCTTTGGTGATTTGGGAATCAAAGCATCTCTACTTGTTCTAGACAGCATCAGGGGTTTGGTATTGCCCAGGGCAGCTAGCTAGATTTTGAATCATCATTTCTTCTCCTCATCCAGCTGGAGGCTTCCCTCACCAGCTCCTTTCCCCATGCTGTGCTTTGGATCTGCTCCTTGTACAGTGAAGAAGTAACTCTGAGCCATACATGAGCTGCTCGTGCTGATACAACAGAATGTCAGCAGTGCTTGGGCATGGCAGGTCACAGGGGTGGACACATCTCCACTCCTTTCCAGACCTGGTTTCTGTATCTCTATGGCTATGTGGAATCAAATCCTGAGTTGCCTAAGGGGAACAGCTCCATCAGAAAGAAGACTTGCTTTCTGGTCCTGCATTCATTTCCCCTAAGCATAAACAGCAGGGGTGTTTTACTGAGGCTGTAGAGACTCTTTGGCTGGGACTAGCAAAAGGCAAAGCACAAAAAATAAAGAGAAGTAGTGATGTGTAAAACTGAGCCAAATACACTTTTCCAGGATTTGCAGGCCCCACAAAATCCAGGCAGAGCATTTTATCCCTAAGAACAGGGACAGCAGTGGCATTTTTGGAGGATGAAATATTCTGTTGACTGTCTGCAGCACAGGTCTCTGCTTCTGTGTTTCTCCTGCTGCTGCTAGAAAGGGAGCACAAAGGCTCCTGCTTAGTAGGTATGGCCAAGAATTTCTCCAAAGCATCAGATGTCAAATCAACCAGCATTTTCAATCTCTTCTCTCAGCCTGAGTTTTCCTTCATGTTCTTCTCACTGTTTTTCTCCTTCTAAATCCTCCCTCTCCTTCTCACTGATCAAATCCTTTCTCTCATGGCAAACATCATCACTTTGGCAGGTGAGATGAAAGACGCCTCAGTCTACCTCAGTTCCAGTGCAGACAGAAAACCAGGAGAGAAGGACAAAGAACAGCAAATAAGGAGGTTTGCAGAATGCCAACACAGCAATGACAGTGAGAAATACAAGACAAAGCAGTTAACCACACAAGGAAATAAATGCTCCTGTGGGAAAAATCATACACTAATGCCTATTAGCTTAATAGCCCTGTGGTTTAGCAGAGGGCTCAGAGACAGGGGGTCTGGGCTCTGTGTGCTGCTCTGCTGCAGCCTGGCTGTCACTTGGGAGGCTGGATCCTCGCTCTGCCCTTGGTCATCTTTGCTTTCAGCTTTGCCACTTCCAGTGTAAAACAGAATCCAGTTTCTCATGGGGCTGTCGGACACTGGCAGAGGCCAGGAACACCTGGAGGAACCCGAGCTGCTGGTTGAAGGATTTCACCAGATGTATGCACACACCTGTGCAAGGGACAGGTCTGTCCCCATGTGTGGCTCCTCATCTCATTCTCTGTCCAGAAGCTGGAGATTAATGAAGTCTTCAGAGACTTCACACAGTGTGCCCATTCCAAACCCCAAGTGCTCTGGTGTTTTTTTATTGGTAGTTGGGACTTTGGGGGCTGAACCTCAGAGCAAAAAGGTCAAAGCCAAAAGACCCCACATTAAATAGAAACAAATGGCAGAGCCAGTCCAACAGAGAGCAGGAGATAATCAGCAGTACCAGTTTACTAGGAAGGTTTATGAGGGAAGGAGAGCAAAGATTCCCTTGGAGAAAAGATAAAGAAGCAGATTATGATATATTTTGCTTCATAGTGCTTCCTGAAATGGAGCTGAGGGCATTGTTTTCTGCTTTAATATATTGTGTTAAACATTAAAAGAATGAAGGCAGGGAGTCTGAGTAGCAATGAGTTAATCTGAAAAGCAGACATATTTTAGACTGGGGAGTAGAGGAAAGAAGAGGAATTTTATTGGTTATTATTAGACTTTTCAGCTCACAATGGACAAGTCAATATTTTTTCTTTTGACTGCTGCTGTTTCCTCCTTTGATTGTTAAACCCCCTCTCTGCCTAGAAGTACTCTGCTTTGAACAGTCTGCTTGTATTTAGCAAATGGCCTGAGGATGCTGAGCATTGAGTCTGTGGGGCACATGACTCAGTCTGAGCACTGCAGCAGCAAGTTTTGGGGAGGTATTGGGTTAATAAGAGATAATAGCCCTGCTCTAGCTCTCAGCATGAGGATTTGGGGCAGGCATGTATCAGTTCCCAGCATCTTTTTGTTGTGGGAAGAATAAGACCTTAGAGAGGATAAATAATGGGATAAAATTCTGTGTTATGGGTTATGAATATTCTGGACAAGAAATTTTAAAGAAAATTGTTGAATGGAGATCCTAGTACTAGTAACTCAAGGTATGAGACCTTTGTTACTCTTTAGCCTTCTAAGACTGCCAGGAGTTGACACAAAAATAGTTGTTGGACAGTGAATAGATGGTGATGCTTAAACACTGCAGGGAAAAGAGAGCTCTCTAATGATGATGATGTTGCCAAATACTGCAAAAGGCTTCATCAAGACAAATATTACAATTAACTGTTGTTAACTACTGCTCCTTACATTGCTTAAGAAGGAAGGACAAGGTTCCCTATACCTGGAAACTTCTACAGGCATGGCGATGAACTTTGATTAGAAATTTAAAAAGGAGGTGAAACATTATATGTTTCCTCTTATGACCATGCCATGTCAGATTTACTGCCTTGCAGCAGCTGGCAAGAAACTTATTAGGAACTAATACTGCTATCTCAGAGCTGGGATATTAATTTTTAATCAATTACTTAGTTGTGATGATGATAGAAGTGGAATATCAAAGATGGGTGAATAGTGTAGCACATGCTCTTGCTGTTCTGGAAGCACATGCTAAGCCCCAAGCTGTTTTTAAAGCTTTCCTTTCCCAGCTGCCCAAAATAAGATGTGCCAGCCTTCTCCTGCATCCTGCTAACTTGTGAGCATCTCCCAGGCTCTAATGCATTCTTTATCACTGTGCCACCACAGGTGACAGATGGGGAAGCAAGGGCAGGAGGAGGGGTTAAAGCTTTTGGTCCCAGCAGGAATGAATCACTGAAAAAATGGTTTATGATATTGATGAAAATGAATAGAAATGCCCTGGCAGAGGAAGGAAGCAGAATTTGCATCACTCAAGATCTGAAGGGGACAACCAAAGCATGGCACAGGACACCCAGGCTTGTCTTGGAAGGGAACTGCTGTGTGCAAGCACCACCAGAGAGGCACAAGCAGGGGACCCTGGCTCTTGCCATGACTGCTGCACTGCAGCCCAGTGCCACTCACTTGTGGGTGTCACCAGGATCCAGCTCTTCAGTTTGAGTGTCTTTGGATTTTCCTGTGAGGTGGGTCCCCAAGGCTTTAACCAGCTCCAAACAAATGCTCCCCAAAGACTCTGGTTGGAAAAGCAGCTCCTTCCCCCAGGCTGTCTTCTCTACCTGCAAAACATGTTATTCACTGGAAAGCAAAGCATCAGTTGCCTACACATGGTAAGACTGAAAAGCCAGCATCTGAGGATAAAATAGGAATGGAAAAAGTTTTCTCCAGTTTCAGCTGCTAGTGGAGAGCAGCATGGAGTCAGGGAGGCTGAGAACCAGCCAGGGGAACACCAGCCCTCAGCCTCTCCCTGGGTAAGGTTCTGGTAAACCATGCTTGCCACAAATGGTTTTGTGGCAAAACCATTTGTCCTTGCTTTTCAATACTCCACCCAAGGAAATGGCCCCTCTATGCCCCCAGCCCCTAAAGCTGCAATAATTTGGCCACTAATGTGACTCATGAATGCAATGATTCACATTAGTGGCCAAATAATTGCAGCAAATTAACACAGCAAAGCTGTGTTTCTTCTTAGAAACTTCATGAAGCAGTTATGAAGCAACAAACTTTGGCTTTCAAAGAGCAGGTGCAATCAGAGCTTCTGGTGGTGGGAGGATGTCCATGTGCATACATACACAGATGTTATTTGCAAACAAATTAGGGCTTGTTTTCCGAAAGGATTTAGCTCCTGATTTTGGTGTGTTTGGCTTTGTAAACTTCATAAATCTTTCTAAGGTAGCAAATTTCCCCCAAAAGCTTTCAATCCCCCTTAATCTGACTCTGTTATCTCAGCTGCATAACAGCTCAGTGCAGCATGGGCTGAGGGACATGGTTTTCAGCCTTCTGTGAAAAACAGGCAGAAAGAGCTCATTGCAGCTGACAGATATGATATTTTGTGAGTGTGTCTGCACCCATATACATTTCAGCCTTAGAAAACACAGATCTGCCACCTGCTTGGAAGCCTGCTTTGAAGCCTCAATAGTAAAGCAAGCAACAATGTGAAATGTGAAACAAATTTCCCCTTTTTTTCTCTTTTGGCCTTTCTGATTCATAAAGAAATTCTCCAGTGAACTTTGTATTTGAATTTGTAGAAGCTTAGCTGGCAAGGAAAGGACAAGCTAGAAGTAATGCAGTGAGTTGCTGTTGGAAGTTTGTTTCTATTCCTGATGGTTCTTTGCAGTACCCTGGATAGCATGAACACAGTGTGTTTCAGACGGGCTCACACTGCAATCTTCCTCCCTCAAAGGCAAGTCTTGGAGTTCAAAATCACAAATCCAGCTTTGCTCCTGTATTGCAGATGTGCCTTCAAGGGTCACAGCTGGAGGAGAAAGTTAGAGGTAAGTGTGCTTTCAGCCCCTGCTCCCACTGGGCTCAGAGCAAGCACTAACCCAGGCTGTGGCTCCTTGCCTGTTATGCAAAGCAAATATTAGTGCATCCTAAATTCTGTGCACTCACAGACTCCAGCTTTACAAAGCTCCTAATGGGGCTTGTGATTTAGCACAAGCAAAAGGTCACAGCTGGGGAAAAGTCCTCTGGGAAGGGTCCACCACATTTGGTTCCACCTGAAAAGGGACTCTCCAGGAAGAGGAAGCAACTTGTCACTTTCTGCTTTCAAGAAACAGAGATGGAAAATACTTCCCAGTTCTCATCAGTCTTAACTTCTTCACCTGACTGCTAGGTGCTTGTTGAGGGATTTAAACCACAGTGTGGATCACTTGGCTCCAGTGGGAGCTGGATTTGACTGCTCTTAGATGAGTTAGAATTTTTCTTCTAGAAACTGTCAGAGGGCATCATCCATTACTGTCATGTTTGGGTTTGGATCGATGAGCATCATCTCTGCCCACAGGGACAAAGCTGTCACTGGTCAGTCTGGACCAGAAGAGAAAAGAAATCTGTGATTTCAGAGAAAGGAATATCTACTCTCTGGAAAATAAGTATGGTAGGCTCTTCAAAAAGTAGCTTTTTTTACTGATCCATCTTTCTCTAAAGGATAAAAAGCAATTCAAGAATAAGAAAGAAGGAAAATAGAACTAGGACTTACAAGAAAAAGTAGTCTATTGTGTAGCAGGACTGAACCCATCCTCAGGTTTACATTTCCCTGCTCATCTTGGGGCAAAATTCAGTCCTGAGGTTTGCCTTCTCCTCTGCATTGAACACAGCGATTATGTTCATCCTATTCAGATTTCAGACTCAATTTTCCTTTTTCAAAGGCCTGTGCTGTTATTTTTCATCCATCCATTCTACAAGTTATAAAACATACATTTTAGAGGCTGACTTGGTTTGCTCTTTCCCTTGGGGAATAATAGATGTCATGCTGTTCAGAAAAAATGAAAAGGAAAAAAACCCTTTCCATGCACCAAAGGGTATGGGGAGAAAACCCTATTAAAAACCTGCATTCTAAATACTGTTATCTAAAGCTGATAAAGAGGTCACAGACTTATTTTCCTCTTCAGGCTCAACCTTCCTTTAATCAATACAAAAATTTCTTGTAGCTCCTGTCTCTCCAGGGAGTTTGACCAGCATTGTCTCAAGCTGTGCTTTCCTCACTATTAATAGGTAACAATTGTGTAAGCTGTGACTCTTTTTGTTAATATTCTAGCAAAACAGATTTTCCAAACAACCACAACTCTTTTGTCCCTTTCAGTCCTGTCTGATACCTCATTGTTAGGTGCCAGTGAAAGGCAAATAGACATCTGTGGAATCTAAAGAGAAGATCTGGCAATTTTACACAGTCCCCTGCTGCCTGCCTCTATAATCTGACAATAAAATTGGATTTTTGGTATCTCTTTAACACTCCAAAAAGTAAACCCCTTTCATAACAT